TCCTACTCCCTGAACCTGGATGGGGTCATGTGTGCATTTGAGAGACACTTCTGGAGTGTTCTCACACCTTTGGGGTTGCCCTTCTGTCCCAAATCCTTCTGTGCTGTCTGCTTCTTGACTGCTGAGAAGACTGAGATGCTCCAAAGGTCACCTTCCTCACCTCTGGCACTTTAGTTTTACCTGCCTCATCTAGCAGAGGGGACTTTGTCATCTATAAGAATCACACCCTTATCCAGTCATGTGCTCCAAAAAGAGGCTTGCCTGTTTTCATTATCCATTATCATTGACGGTAAGTGAGTTATACAAAAACTTTATATAAAAAAGCAAGAACAAGCATAAGATATCTGTAACCATGTGTAGAGAGAGAAAGAAGAAGACGACGTAGTAGAGGGGATACTAGACCAATAACCTTTTTTACCTGGCACCTCTACAGTGTTTCCCTATATACCTAGGAAAACTAGAAACAAAACCTTACTCAACGTAAAGCTTAAATATGATTTCGTATCTGATCATTTACATGCATCCCCCATTGGATTCTCAGGGAGCCCACACTGCATATATCTTCTTGCCCCCTTCCTTTCCCCAAAGGTGCATGCTTACCAAGCTAAAAATCCTTCCTAATCTACTTAAAACCAGGAGAATATTTGCATCCATTCAGGCATGGAGATTTCTAATCCATTTTCCTGAAGATACTGTCTCTGTTTCCATACAGTGAGCAAATAGCCTTTCTGTTTCAATGGTAGGGTTTCTCCTTTTAATATGTAAGTTTGTCATTGTCTGGAAGGGCCTGTTTGTGGGTAAACATACTCCTGTCAGATGTCAATTTTTACAGATTACTGCTTTCCAGCCATTTAGGCTCTGAGCCTCTCCTAGGTGCCAAAGAAATTCATTGTTTGTCACGTGGAAGTTATTATCGTATTGTGCAATCCTGGTCCTATTATAACACATGAGCAACACATTTTATAGCAAATAGCACAGTGCATATAAGCATGGAATAATAAAGCTAAATACAGCTTGGCGCTATCTATTGATAGAGACTACACATGCCGTATCAGTAAAACACCTGCAAGAAACCACATGTGACATCCCACGAATCCCCCAGAACATAGTGAGGTTCATGACACCCACCATAGCTGCTATTTCTGCCAGGCACCTTCCCATATAGAGAAGTCCCAAATAAAGAAAAAACAAAATTGCTTGGTGCGGTGAGACAGAATGAGATGAAGATCAAAGAGCACCTTAAGGTACTTTGTTCTTGATAAGTAGTTTGTTTGTTTTTTAAATTCAGTATAGAACACTGTGCCAGCAACAGGGCATAAATATTTTTTTAAGTGCTGAACTTCATCTACAACTAGTGACATGCTGATTAAAAATAAAATAAAGTTGTAGTCTAAGACTGAGATACAAGTCCTCTTTATCCTCTGTAAACATGGTTTAATACCTTTCCTATCATGTGAGCCTGAAAAAAATACTAAGTTATATCTTAAGTTAAGTGCTATTAAAGAGTTTTTTTCTGGTAATATTAAACTAACTAAACAAGCAGAAACATTTTGCCCCTTTCCCCCCTCCCTTCTTAGTGTACAAAGAGCCAAAAATGTTGGTATGCTGAACACTTTTTTAGATTTCACTTCAAATACTGTGTAAGCTGTGCCAAGTACAAAGTACGGTTTACTGCTACAATTATACCAGTGGCTAAAATTCTTACCATAGGTAAGTTGGGAGAAGAAGTGAAGAGGAAGTTAGAGGGAAAAGAAATAGCTGAATTTCTAAAATGTAAATTTCATATTGCAGTTTTTAAGCAACTATCTTTTATCTAAATAGATTTTATTGAATGCTTTATCTCATCTGAATTTTCAGATGAATAATGTTTTATTTAGCATACTTTTTGTCTTAAATTGATATCCATCAAAATTATTTCTCAAACACAGGGGAAAGGTAGTTTATGGTAACATAAATCTTGTTTAAGAAATTTGCTTAAGCTAATTCTGAAACTTTAAAAAACGAAAACAGTTCAAGTAATTTCTCTTGCAGCTAAAATTAAATATACTGGATTAAATTTGTGTGTGTGTCCTGCTTCCTTTCTACATTAATATTTGGAAATTCCATATTACTTTGCATGGATGACGAGGTTGAACGGTCTTAAACTACTGTGAGACAGTTTCAGGCTGGACATAAGGAAGAATTTCTTTACTGTCTGAGCCCCCAAGGTCTGGAACAGCCTGCCATCGGAGGTGGTTCAAGCACCTACATTGAACACCTTCAAGAGCAAATTGGATGCTTATCTTGCTGGGATCCTATGACCCCAACTGACTTCCTGCCCTTTGGGCAGGCGGCTGGACTCAATAATCTTCCAAGGTCCCTTCCAGCCCTAATGTCTATGAAATCTATAAAATAAAGAATTCAAGAAGTTTAAGGTAGTGGGATTCCAATTTTAGATAGAAAAACCAAGGTACAATGAGGACAAGTGTTGTCCAGTTAGACAACAAATCACTGATAGAATTAGAGAGAGAGAACTCAGGTCTTCTGTCTCTTGTTCATGCCCAGTTACTGGGCCATCCTACTAGGTACCTTTAGGATCAGGGTCTATGGTGAATGAGTGGAGGAATAGGTGTGATGTATGGCTTACCTCTCCCGCTTTGCAACCTCAGTGGTGGTGGTAGTTTTAGAACAAGGCTTAAATATGTGAACCTCTTTTGGACATCTGACTTGTTAAGTTACTGACCATATTTTCACTGCATGTTAACAGCCATAATGTAATAATGAGCAGCAACTCCTCCTGTTAGCACATGAAAAAAGATGCTGACAATATTTTGGTGTGAGAATGTGGTTAGTTTTTGATCGCTTCTCCCAGGTGTTCAGGAATTGCTGTTTGTATATAGTTGTTTTTTTTTAATTAAGTTTGCAGTGCATATGGATGAACTTATTTAAATATACTGGGTAACAAATATGCTAAATGGTAGTGAGAGGACATGAGCTTTAGGCTATAGTAAAATTCTTGCTTCCTGACTACACAGTGCGTCTCTGTTTTAGATATCCTGATTTCTTTTCTGGTCAGATCCTAGTAGACAACTTTGCCTTGAATCTTATAGAATTTGGAGAGTGGTCTCTGTCAACTAAATCACATTCTGTTGACTCAGTATTTTAAAATATATAAAGAGACAAAATTTAGTAAGACAGAACTGGTCACTATTTTTTTAATATATATTTCTTTTAAAAATATAACAACAAGGTTGTCATAAAATGATTATCTCTTGATGCTCCCTAAATGCCAAAATGGAGCTGAGGCATTATTTCTGTAAGGGATATACAATACTGGTTTATTCTGAAATCTTCTGTTCCTTGGGCTCACCCCCCACCCCACACACACACACCCTCTAAGAATTAGGCCTCCTCTACACATAAAGTAAAGGCGCAATGGGCTCTAATGCACAACCACACAATCATACCTCCTCCATGCCACATGTGCACAGCAAGAGGCATGATTGTGGGACCATGCATTAGATCCTATCTCACCTTATTGCTGGTACAGAGGGGAGCTCAATTCCAGGCTTCCCTTAAACCACTAAGAAGCAAGCTCTCACATCTGGGACCCCCCTCAGGGGCTTCTAGCAGCTGGTGTGCTCCATGCACCCCCGGGCCTTTAGGATTGTGGCTGCCATGATTTTGCAGGCTCAGGAGTGTGTGAAAGCCCTGGGCCTGGTTGATCATGGTGGCCGACCCTGCTTCATGCACTCCTGAGCCTGCTTCATGCACCCCCAAGCCTAGGAGACTGCAGCAGCTGCAGGGTCAGGGCTTTCATGTGCCCTCAGGATAGTTCAGTGACGACATATAGGGGGTGCACAGGGGTGCATGTGCACCCCCTGAGAGCGCTGGAGCACCCCCTTGCAGCCAGCACTCCCTGCTTAGGTGACAGGTGGGGGGAGAGGGGAGGCAGGAGTGCCTGTGCCCCCCCCCCCGTGAGTGCCATCTGGAGAGTGGGGGCACCAGGAGGAGTGCTGCTGGCACTTCCAGGTGCCCTGCTTGTGCTTCTTGGCCGGTCAGGGGAGGCACATGCTGCCCCTGATTCAGGAGGTACCAGTTGCCCATGGGGTAGCTGTGCCTCCCAACTGCTGAAATCCAGTTAGATCCCAGCTCCCAGCATCCTCAGCTGTGGGGATGTGGGTCCCCATGCTGCCGGGGCCCAGAGCTGGCAACCACTGGAACTGAGTTGCAGTTGCAGGACTCATGGCCCTGACTGGACAAGGCACACCCATGTGTCTAGAAGCTCCATCAGCTAATGGGGCTCCCAGCCACAGGACCCTGCTACAGGTGCAAATTAAACCTCAGTAGCAACCAACTATAAAGTTAGTACACATTTTCGAGGTCTAACTTTATAGTTGGTTAGAGCTTTTTATGGCATAATAAGTACTTTGCATGTGTAGCTCATCTCCAAGTAATTGCTCAGTTAACCAGTTAATTTTGTGATCCCTGTAATGTCTAGAGTGGGGCTTAGTGTATCATCTTAACTTTTAGGTAGTATCAACAGACAATTATATTTTGACAATTTTTACCCTAATGGCAACTTCTAAACTGCTCCATAATATACACTGTTCAGTTTCCTACTCTGTATATTTAGAGTATGTTCACTTGGCTACAGTTATATTGACAAGTTATAACCTGTTTTCACACCAGCAGACTAAACCCCTGATAATGAGGCAGTAATTTTACTTTTAAACAATATTAATAGGACCACAAAAATATAAATTTCTGTTGTCATTAAGATGGAAATTGGTTGAGAGAGAGAGGGGTGAGAGACCTAATACACCTGGCAAAAAATATATAAAATTAGCTGTTTTTTATCTTTCAATTGCTTTATAAAACCTGGCATTAAAAGTAGCTTTCAGTGACTCTAGTATTAACCTATAAAATAGGTTATTGAATTTGATACATATCACTTTTTCACTGTTCAAAAGCAGTAATCATTTATTTATTTATTTTATTCTTTCCCTCTGCAAATGTAGGCATTTCAGTAAGACTATGGAGGAGCTAGTTCATGATCTGGTCTCAGCATTGGAGGAAAGTTCAGAACAAGCCAGAGGAGGTTTTGCTGATACTGGAGATCATTCTCGTAGCGTGTCTTGTCTTCTAAAACGTCAGGCAAGAAAAAGGAGGGGTCGGAAAAGACGTTCATTTACCACCCATCATCCTTGGGAGACTGGTCACTGTTTAAGTGAAGGTTCTGATTCAAGTCCAGAAGAACTGAGTAAAGACTACAGAGAGAATCATGCTAATAAGAAAGACCACAGTGACTCTGATGACCAGCTGTTGGTTGCTAAACGGAGGCCTTCTTCAAACTTAAATAATGTTAGAGGCAAAAGACCTCTATGGCATGAATCGGATCTGGCTATGGACAGTTTAGGAAACAGAACCTTGCGTAGGAGGAGAAAAGTGAAACGCATGGCAATAGATCCACCACCAGAAGTTGCAAGTACGCTGACATTGACCCAGCAGCAGGATAACATCAGGGATCAAGAAATGGACAGTGACAACAGATTTTACCAACATCAAGAGTTTGCCAAGAGCAAAGTGAAAAAAAGAAAAATAGCTGCAACTAGACAAGGACCAGAAATCTTGGATGAAGGAGTAGTCATAGAAAATGAAGAAGTGAACCAGGCAAATAAAGAAAAAATGGAGTATGAAGAGCAAAAGGGCTCAGATGAGAACATGAGTGACAGGTTGTGTGTTATCTTTCTTTTGTACCGAATGAAAGTTTTTGGTTTTATTTTTCTTCACAGTGAAGGTATTGGCAAGTTTTGATTCCTTTATTCCAGATGTTTTAAAATACAATCTATAACAATCGTTTTTTTAATCAGTAAATTCTAGGAGTCTTTCCTTACCCAGTAATACTACTTCAGATGTTGTACAGTGTCAGGTTACTTGGTTGTTGAAATACCATGCAAGGGGAAGCCTGATAAGTGACAGGATAGCAACAAAACAAATACTTCAAGGGAAAATCCCTACAAATCACTTCAGAATTAAGGAAATTGAGTTGATCATTGTTTTTATCTTAGGTATGTCAACTAGTGACAGTTTTCAGTCAGTTTCATGCAAGGTAATTGATTAGCTCAGATTTTCTAACTTCTAGGTACTGGTACTATGGTTGGTTTTGCTATACATCAGAAGGTTATCAGTGTTTAGATGCACCAGTTACACAGTCTGTGCCTGTGTGTCATGGGCATAAAAAGTCTGCAGGTTGCTGAGAGTACACATCATTTATGAAATGCAAAAACCAATTTACAGTTCAGAAACACCTGAGCTTGCCATTAGAAAAATGGGGGAATGATGACCTTCTGGCAGTGCGCCTCATCCATCCATTCCAGACAGCAGGCACGCCACAATGGTAATTGTTTCCAAAGTACTATTTTGACAACAGAGAAAGGTGTAAGTCATTTTTCCGCAACATACAAGTGATGTTACCTGCAGGGTCTGATGAGCCCGATCATGTGCATAAGATTTTGAATGCATAAATATCAGCAGGGAAACTCCTATTAAAACATAAGTTCTGGCCAGTCTCGTGGCTTGACAGCAACAACATTCCCACTTGGTAGTAGCTGTCTTATCTTTTGAAGTGCGTTGATTTTTTTTTGTGCTTATTAGGCACTCAGTTTAAATGCAGATATCACATACATACATAGATGTTTGCCAAGGGGAAGATGATAACTTATTTATTCAATAACTGAAGTATTGTTAAATGACTAACTCCAGTTATTGAATAATTGTGAAGGGGAAAAAAGTACTATATACTTTTGTGGTCTGTTTCCTAAGAACTGTTGACAGTTTAAATTGCCATATGAATCCCAAGTCACATATTTATAGAAAAGAATTCTCCCTCCCCCCTATTATCTTTAAAATTGCACTGGACCAGAAGCAGTCCTTACTGGGCCCTTTGTGATTGAAATTCATTCAGGGTTCACTATCTCTGGCCTGTTCGCTTGTCAACTGTTATGGTCTTGAATTTTAACTGTCATTTTAAAATGCCTTAAAATGTACCATGCAAAGGTACAAATACTACAAGGATAGGGTTACCATACATTCGGGTTTTCCCAGATATGTCCTGTTTTTGGGTCCTCCCATCTCCATCCGAGGGTTGTTTTTTTTTAAATATCAGCAAATGTCCGGGCAGTGAGGGAAAGTGATTGGAGGCATGGGAGGCAGGTAAAAGAGAGTGTGTGTGCATGTGTGTGTGCGCGCATGGCACTAAGGCTGCAGCAGGGCAGGGGGGTGGGGGGAAGGGGACTGTGGGTTGAGAGTGAGGAGTGTCAGTAGGGACAGGGGTGCTGCAGGTTGGGGCACCAGCATGGTCTGGGGGGAGGATACTGTAAGTCAAGAGTACAGGGGCAGCAATAGGGCTGTGGCTTGGGAGTGAGGGGCAAAGGCCGGACATGGGCATATCACTGCCCCCCCGCCCTACTTCATTCTGCTGTTTTCTTCTGGGTTGTGTGCCAAACGGCAGGATTCAGAGTGTGGGTGTAGGGGAAATATATTTTTTTAAATGTTGCTGCAAAACCACAATATTTATCAAAGGTGTTAAGATGTATCACCTGAACTGCTTTTACCTCACACTTTCAATTTAATTAAATTTGGTGTTGTGGCATAGACTAGAAGCCCTGTGCCCTGGCACTATTTTCCTAAACCTTCAGCAAAACTTTGACTTAAAAAGACTTCAGCTGCTAGCAGGCATCTTTCCCTTGCCCTCCCTTTTCCCACCCTCCAACCCCTTCTCTCCACTCCTTCCACTTGGTTTAATTAAAAGTCCTAGCTTCTAGCAAAATATAGTATTCCTCAAAAGTATTATCACTGCTTGGCTCCACCACCTTATCCCACTGGAGGAACAAGTAGTAGTAAGTTTCTGCTACTAGCATGTAATAGCAGATAAAAATATCACCCTAAAACTCTATGAGATGTAAAATAGTGAATTACTTAAAACACCTTGGGTTAGATTCATTTAGGGAAATGAAATGCAGAATAAAAAAGCACAGGGTAAATGAAAATGAGTACCTGTATGTTTGTATCTACACAGTGCTTTGAAAAGTCTCTTAATAAATTCTAACCTAACTCTCAGCAGCAAAGATTTTTTTTTTAATCAATCCAAATACGTAAACCTAAAAAAGGAGTAAAATTCCTCAGCTTTTTAAGCTGTAATCAGATAGGCCCCGGTTAGGTTTAAAGTATTTTTTAACATAATATTTTTGCTGCATTACTTAAACTGCACAGTTAAAATTTTAAATCAGAAAATAAAGAAAATATAACTAATGATCGCTAGACTTTTAACTGTAAGCCTTTAATACTTCAGCAATGGGGCAGTGGTAGAAGAAAGAACCCTCTAGCTTTTAAAATGTCAGTGTTTAAATGATTCCACTGAGGCTGCTCACTGATGATTAGGGTTTAGGGAGTCAGCTTTGTTTGTTGCCTCATAATAGTTGTCTATAAGGTTGACTTTTAAAGAATCACTAAAAATAAATAATAACAAAATACATGTGTCATACTTTGCTTCATTGATATATATTACAGCAATGAAGGCTTTACAGTGCAGGAGATGTCTTGCCAAGCATTTTGCCTGCTTGCTTTATTCTGTAGCAATATCAGGAATACTAACATCCTCCTTCCCCCTCTTCCCCCCCACCTTTTTTTCCCTCCTGGTTGTTTTTGTTGGAGATGATTTTGGGAAGTGGGAATGTGAATTGTAAGCTCTTGCACATTAACTGAAGGAAGTAAGGGATGCCAAATCTTAGCCACTGACTTCCTTTCTCTATGTGTTTAATTAGGCATTTGTGTGATCATGATAAACTAGTTCAATGGAAATCTCTTCCTTTCTTAATTGCTTACTTGTAGAGTTTTGTGATGCCATAATTTCATTTTAATTTCAAAGACCATAATCTTCCAAGGTTCACATCTAGAATTCATAGAAAAGCCTTGTACTCCTGAATAAACTCCAACTTTCTTTATGACACAAAGTAAATAAAAAAGCATGGCTAGCATGCAACTTCTGTTGTGATGACAAGCTAGCTTTTATTAAAAAAAAAAAAAAAAAAAAAAAAAAAAAAAA